ACCCCCAGTGTGGGTACACAGAGGGTCTGCTAAATGTTTGCTGAATTAATAAACAATCCCAAGTCAGGAACAGTCTCCAAATCGTTCCTCATTACAAAAGGGTGGGTTGGTAAAACTCACAAAGCCAAGGCAGGAGGACACGCTCAACTTGGAAATGGCCCATGCTCAGCCTGGGTACAGGCACAGCCTCTGCTTCAAGGGAGTCACTTGGGCAGCAATATCTCCCACCTTTCCATGCAGTTAACAGCATCAGACCAAGTGATCTCTAATGTGGATGATTTGCTGAAGTACAATGTGGTTTACAATTAGAAAGTGCCTTCCTTCCAAGAATGGCTTCACTATGAGCCATCTAATTTTTCCTCTCTCTCATTTTAGTATTTTTTATTGCAAATATTGCACACAAAATAAATAGGATATGTAATCTATTTGCGCAATTTAAAGAAGAAGAAGCAAACACCTTTGCATGCACTTCCTAGTCCACAAAAGTCAGTGCCAGGACCTCAGGAGCCCCTTCTGCCCTTCCCCCAAAACTCTCCCCTCCCCAACAAGGTAATCTCAATTCTGAGTTATGTGTTTATTTTGTCCTTGTTTCTCTTTTCAGCACATATTATGTTTCTCTGAATTATATGCTTTTTAATTCTGCCTCTTTTAAATCCTGATTTTTGGAATCATATTGCAGATAATCTGTGACTTTATTCTACTCATGTATGAGAACCATCCACATTGATACATGGCTACAGAGAAACACTCTTAGTTTATTTTTCACTGCTGTATAGTACTCCATTGGTGGAGTACAATAGGTTATTTATTCATTTTTCTGTAGATGGACATTTGGGTTGTTCTGTTTTTTACTCATATACACCTCCTGGTGCCCAGGTAGATCCTGAATGAATAAACGAGCTGGCTCACAGACTAGGCACAGCTTCAGCTTTACTAGGTAACACCAAGCCAGTACAAAAGTGCTTGTCCAAACTCATGCTCCTACCAGTATGGAGGACCCACTGTGCCACATAAAAGCATCACTGTTATTAACTTGTTTTATTTGCATATAATTATTTTTTCCCTTGTCCCCTAACCACTTCTCAAAGCAACTAGCCAGCACGTACCACACAAGCAAGCACCCACTCCAATGTGATCTATACGTTTTAGGCATGTATGTACCCCTGAAAACCCTATGATGTTGCTTGGGCAGCATATAACTTTTTATGCATGTAAGTAGCATGTGCTGCAGAGAGCGTTCCGTTTTCTGTATGTTTCACTCCATTCACTGTTTTGTAAGACACGCCCATGTTGCTCTATAGACACTAGAGAGAGGATGATATTTTATCTTTAAGATGGGTATGCCACCCTCACTTTATAGATCACAGTGACAGCTCACAACTGTTCAGCATTCAGTGGGGTTTAAAGTGTACTAACTCTTAATCTCCCACTAACGCTACGAAACTAGGTGTTTCTGTTTCATATAAAAGGAGACCAAGGCACAGAGAAATGAAGGAACTTGTCCAAAATCACCAAGTGACTAAACGACAGAGTATGATCTGAATCGAGCCAGAATGTGTTCTTATCCACAACATGAAACTAGATAAGAAGCAAAGCTCAGAGGGTTTTCACGGCCTGCATCTCTGGGATACACAGCTGGAGACCACGGAGCAGAACTAACATGCAGATGATTCCCCTCTCAGTCCAGTCCTCATTCCACCAGCTTCAAAATGCGTATTATTCTTCAAGAGTAGCTGGCGAACAGCAAGGGGAATTAGTCCTCTTCAGCAAGTATTAGCAAATGAAAATATTACAGAGACAAAGCTTTTTAGGAAATGCAATCACGTGAGTTTAAAAATGCTTTATCAGAATTAGAATTAATGACAAAAACTTTTATAGGATCCTAATAAAGTGGACTTGCTAGTCTTTTTCTTCTCTGCTGCGGGTAATTGTCCAGGTGCATCTTTGGTTGTGACAGCTCTACTTCACAGAGCTATATCTTCATATACACCTAACATGCTAAGGGTACATCTGCATGGTACGTTAGCATAATTTCTGTTATAAGAAAGTTCTTGGTCATACCTGTAATCCCAACACTTCGGGAGGCTGAGGTGGGAGGACTGCCTGGGTAATAGAGTGAGACCTTATCTCTATAAAAAGATAAAAAATCAGCTGGGTGTGGCAGTGCACACCTGTGGTCCCAGCTACTCAGCAGGTTGAGGCAAGAAGATTGCTTGAGCCTGGGAGGCAGAGGCTGCAGTGAGCCATAATCATATCATTGCACTCTATCCCGATCAACAGAGTGAGACCATGCCTTTAAGTAAGTAAGTACGTAAATAAATAAATAAATAAATGTACCTGGAATGGCCTACAAAGTAAGGCAAATCAAATTATCCTTAATGACAGTTACTATTATCACCAACAGAGAAGCAGCTAAAGTAAACATTCTGCTCCTTTTGTTTGTAAACAAACTGCCACAATTCTTGCACTATTTAGATCAAGAATATTTTATATCCCACAGTTATCAACCATCCCTCCTTCTTTTTTATTGTTTCTAGCTCCTTAAACATATAAAAGGGTAAAAGCCATTTGTTCTGGCAGAAAAGAGTCATCATGAATTGTGCAGAGTGAATTTCTCTAAGATGAAAGGAATGCTCCTCTTCTCAAGGACAGCCTGCAGACAGGACTGTGAAGACACACAGAGTCTTCACGGGCATCGCACCTACAGTGTTAAGTCACTTCTGTGGAAAACTCAAGTCCTTCTCAGATAACAAAAACATTTTAGTAGCAATTAACCAAAAACGAAATCTTCCACTATATATGTTAACACATCAAGAGGAATCATTCATGTGCGATTTATATGAACTCCCTTCCCAGAAATAACAGCAGCATTCCACAGCCCAAAGCCAGAAACTTCTGGCACATGACATTTTACATCAGGCACTTTAATGAATTGGTGGAAGAAAATTATTCTCCCAACTTTGTTGTCAAGAACCCCAATTTCATATGAAAAAAATAATTACAAAAATAATTGTTCGAATTCTAATAGGTAGAATTTTGACAGGTTTATAAAAGAAATAAACATCTTCAACATGATTCTACCTCACAGTCAATATCAGCTATTAGTAACCACACTTCTCATTGCCAGTTCATGTCTCCAAACACAGAGAAGCCATTTGGGGTGAAATTTATTTTTAAAAAACTCTCAGAGTTAAGATTTCTCAAAATTATCTTTCACTTTGTATTGACATCAACCAATATGATGACAATAAGATAAATCAGAGCCGAAAACAGTTCATTCCTGAAATCAAATACAGAATATTTCTACCAAGCTCTACTTTCAAAGATGGTGTTTTCAGGTTTGCATAGAATTGTTTCAGCTTTATGAATTATTTTTTTAAACCTGTAATACTTTCTTGCTGACTTCATCATTTCCTTCTGGTCGCCTGGAGCAGTGGTGTGGAATGCCAATAAAATGAATTTCAGTTGCTGTCCCTCACGTTCTGAACTACAGAAGATATTTATTGTCTCAATGCCCCATGAGCTTTTCTTTGCCTCATGTAGCTTCATGGTTAGCAGACATTAAAAATCAAAGAAAATCTTTCTCCACTTTACGCGTGTAGTGGCATAGACATACTGATCAAATATATTACCAACACTTCTGAAGAAACTAATCACATCCACAAGAGATATCCCACTTGCATTTTTTTGGAAACACAATTGTCACAGCCCAATGAAATACCACTCAGAAATCAAATTATATGTCCCCATAAGCATCTGCTCCTCTGTGACCCTGGGCAAAATTTAGAATCGTCAACAACCCAATCTCTGAAACTGCAGGAGCACCCACAAAGCTCAAGGAATGCACTGAAATTCTTATTGCTTCCAATTCCATTTTCAAAGAAAGTAAATGTGTATGCATGTGAGCTGCACATGGCCCAGAATGCCTCACCAAATGTATTGTTTTAAAATGTGTGTGTGTCCATGTGTAACTGTGTGTGTGAGATTTTGAAAGGCATTTTATACTTTATTCAAAAAGAGGTACATTTTTCAATACCACAAACTTTCAATTATAAGCCACTTTCCATTTTCAACAAATGTTTTAGGCAAGGAATATAAATTAGTAAAACCAACCACACCACTTAAGGAAAATGAATTAATATGGGGAAAGTGAAGAACTGGCTGTGCAGTCAATTACTTTGGCCAGCATAGATATAGTTGAACCAGAACAGGTGTAGACAGCCTATTTGGACAAGGTAGCTTAAGCCCCAGTTTTTTCTGCAGTCTTATTTGTGTCAAGTATATGAAAACTACCATCTCATTTCCTCCCTGTAGCTATTACCCACACATATATGTAGCGTCAAAATAAATGGACCAGAGTCCTCTCAGGGACCTCTTTGACACAAGTCTCACTTCCTCACCTTCTCACCTCCACAGCCTCAGGAAGCGCAGGTCAGAAAGCAGCCAGGGCAGGTGTGAGGTGACGGGCTGCTGAGTGTCAACGAGCCCAGATAAAACAACGTTCCTACATCGGAAATCCAACCATTCACCCTCTTGTCTCCTCCTCACTAACCCCAGGCAAGTATAAAGGAGATGGAATTAAAACAGAAGTTAGAAGAATCTGGATGTGATTTCATATATTAACTCAGCAAACTTTTTCTGAAAAGGTCCAGACAGTAAATATTTCCAGCAGGCAGGCCATATGGGCTTTGTCGAACCTACTCAACCATGCCATTCTACAGTGAAGGCAGCCACAGATGATATGGAAATGTGTGCATGGGGCTGTGTTCCAATAAAGCTTTCTTAATGGACACTGAAATGTAAATTTCATGTAATTTACACATGTTATGAAATACACTTCTTTTGACTTCTTTTTCAACCGTTTATAAAAGTAAAAACCGTTTTCTTAGCTCCTGGGCTGTGTTGTCTGGCCCCTAATTGACTGACATGTGGGCAGGTATCCATGAAAATCTAGGCATAGAGGAAGCCAGAGCTGGCTTTCCGGCCAAGACGGGACTTACCTTGATATGAGCTGCTGGGTCCGGGACAGTCTGAATCATGTCCTTCAATAAGCCAGTCCATCTACCAGCTGCTCAGAACTTGACAGCTAGAAGACAAAAGGAACAACATAAATAATAATAAAAAACTACATTTCTTTGTTTTACGTTCTAGCAGGACTGGACACAATTCACCAGTGACAAAAGAATCATAACTTTGCATTAAGCATGTTTGCTTAAAGGCATCCTCCAGGTATGTGTGGTCCATGAGGTGACTGGATAACTCACTTCCCTTCCATTGGTAAAATCACTTAGATTGAGCCCAAGAGAACCCCAGTCCAACAAGGCCAAAAAAATCTAGCTCAAGCTGACCCACATCGAATGCAGTATCCACACATCCTTCCACATGGGCAGCATCTAATGAGGGATCTATTAAAGAAAGACATGAGACTAAAATGTGGCATACTTCCCATTACACTGAGAAAGCAGGACTTTGAAATCTCATTATAACTAATGCCATCTGCACATCCTTTTCGGCTTCGTTATTAAGTTCTTAGTAAACCACACAGCTACTGTTCATTGAGTATCTCAGTGCCAGTTCGTTGACTGCTAAGGGCTCCACACACATTTTCTCATTTCATTCCGACCACAATGCTGACAGCTGTCATTCCCATTGTCCAGATGAGGACTTCGAGACTCATAAAGGTTACTGATTTGTCCAGGATCACCTGGTTAATAAGCAACCGAACCAAAATTCAAATCAGATCAGCCTATCTGACTCCAGAGCCCATAAAAAATTTTGGTCTGACTTAATTAGCAGGTATCAACCCATATTTTGAAGGGATATTTTAAAACATGCCTTAAATAAATTAAATTTAAAGGTGCCCATACTCCAGGAATTTTCCAGAAATAAATACTTCATCCAATATATATTCCTTTATTCGGATTATAAATTGGCGTGTTCTGACCACTGTCTGTGCCCCTCCCCTTCCACCAAGCCAGTCTCCAGCCTCCCTGTGCTGTCCCAGCCCCCCAGGCTGACCTCTACAGATGGACTCAGCAGGGCGACTGGCCTCCTGGCCAGCTGTCAGAGTTGGTTGACATGGCCCCTTCTGGAGAGCAGGGGTGAGAGAAGAGAGGGGTATCTCTTCCCCTCACCTTCCCACCGCTGACACCTGCTGCCCGGCCTCCCTGGACGCTTGGTCATGGTTCTGACCGTAGCCGGATTCTAGGCTGACCTCTCCCATCATGGGGCCCCGCCTTCCAGGCTCCAGCCTCTAGTAACTGGTCCCCAGCCAGTATCTGGTGCTCTGCGAATCAGCTAAGCCATCAGTTGTTTCTGGCACTAAAGATATCTTTTTTAATTTACATTTTTAGATGCCATCACTTGCTTTTTATCACCTGTATTTTTTGTTTTTCTTCTTTACAATGGCTCTTTGCAGTAATAAACACAAAATAAAAATAAACAATATGATTACAGACATTTTCAAAAGCTGTCTTTTGAATCTGCTATGGAGCACACGACTCCAGTGATGTGGGAAAGCTCCCACGGGAGCCCTCACCACATTCACAGCCCGCCCTTCCGACCCCTCACGGTACAGACACACCCACTTCCAACCCGACCGCCTCTCACGACTGGTGTGCTCCGAGTCTGTCCTCCTGAAAGGTCTCCCTGGAGTCCTCCCAAGATTGGGAGAGCTTGGCTGGCCAAGAAGACGATGCTGGGAACCTTAGGCATTATTTTTTTCTATAGCCAAATGTCTAGGTCTTGGAAAATATGTACTTTTCCCCCCAAGTCCTAAAGTAAGTCCCTCTGGGGGATGATACTTACGAAAATGCAAAGGGAGTGGAGTGCAGTCCTGAAATTGAACCAGGAAGCAGATGAAGGGGCCCAGGCTGCTGGTGCTATCATGGGAGGAGAGACTGGGAGAAGACAGGGCCTGGCTGAAGGTTTCTGGGAGCACAGGAATCCTCAATTCTCCTTCTCCTAAGAGCAGTAGGTGCCCCAGGAAAACAGCACTTTGGTCCTGGGATCATTCAGCCCGGTCACTCAGCATCCACAAGTTGTCCTGACAAAGGGAGGGCCTCCCATTGCATGACCCTGCCCTGGGGAGCACACGGCTGTTTCCATTTGTCTGGGCAGTCCCTCTGGGCTAGTTCACTCTGCACAGTTCCTCCCTGCCTGCACACACATGCTGCCGCTCATACCAGGGGTTGAAGCTCGTCCCCTTCCCCTCAAACCCAGGCTGACCTGTGCTGCCTCTGACCTGGAGAACACAGCAATGGGAATGTTTCAGGAGCCCCAGGCCCAGGCCTGGAATTGGGAGCTTCCCCTTCCTGCTTCCTGAAACCAAGTCCCCATACCCTCAGCAGCACAGCACATGGCAGAGGATCGAGTGCCCAGCGGGCAGCCAGCACCAATGCCAGGCCTGGGAGGAAGCTGTCCTGGACAGTCCAGAGAACCATCTCTCAGATGACCATGGCCCCTGCCAACACCAGGGAGGCAGCTTCCAGCTGAGTCCAGTCAGCCCACAGGACTGTGACCAATAATAAATGGGTTGTTGTGCTGAACTACTAGGTTAGTTTATTGCACATACAGGTCATTGAAACACCCCGTTAGTGTTCTAGAGACACGGAAAAGAGAGGGTATATAGCTTGTTTCACTTTCACTATGGATGACAGCAAAGATGGTCCCAACACTCAACCCCTCCTGTATCCATGCTTTTTGCCACATAACTTTGTGGTTCCTCCCAGTAAAGAGGTAGAATTACTTCCTAACCCTTATTTTTGGGCTGCCAGTATGATCTGCTTCAGCCAACAGGATACCGCAGAAAGACAAGCATGTCAGGTCCTAGCTGAAGCCTCAGGAGGCAGGACATGTTCCCATTTGCTTTTCGGTAACTTTCCACCAGCCTGGGAACATAGCCTGATGCATGCGGGAGGATGAGAGGCACCTGACGTAGGGTCATCCATCCCAATCACCGCACCAAGACTATCTCTGATCATCCCACAGACAACCAAAACCCCAGACATGAGAGGGAGGCAACCAGACCAGCCACTAGCCAGGGCCAACCTGAATGGCCAACACACAGGCTGACGGCTAAATAAGTGCTTACTGCTTGAAGACACTGAAATTTGGGGAATTTGTTACACAGCATTTTTGTGACAATAGATTAATGACATACACTTTGCTCCGCATAATCAGATTACTGAGATATTCATTAAAACTCTTCCAGCCAGAGATAAAAGGAGACTCAGGACATTTCAGAAGAAGCCAACTTCATCCCAACACAGAGACATATTATTTCCATTCACCTAAGAGACATGATCTCAAATCCTAATCCTACCCTCAAAATGCATAGGGAAACTGAAAGATAACCAAGAAACCTCCATCAGAAAGCCCCATGGGATTCTCAGAGCCTTTCCGAGGAGCAATTGAATTCTTAATTCACATCATGCCCTGCCAGCCTTCCCAGAATTTTAAAGATAATGAAATTGAATCAACACCCTTAGATATCCAAGACCGCAGCAACATTGTAGAAGTTACAGTGGCCACTCGGTCTGTAACCAACCAAGACATAAACTTAGTGAGCAATTGTTTGAGTGTCTTGTTTCTCATAAGGAAGTTTTGAGTATTCAGGTTGCATCGAGGATAAAATGACAGGGAAGGGAAAATATAGAGATTTCGGATGCAACACAGTCCCGATCCTCCGGGGACTGAGATGGGAAACAGGTGTGTTTCATACAGATATGAAGTGGTCAGTCCTGAGAACAGGCAGTTTGTGGAGGTGCCCAACGAGGTGTGTGGATATACCTAGAGGAAAGAGAGACCTGATTCATGCAGAGACGAGAGGGTGCCACCAAGGGGCCTTGATGAACAAGAGGCATGAGGATCGGAGGAAAGAAGGTGAAAGGCAGGAAGCAGGAACAAGAACAAGCCTCTCCCAGCTCCCCCACATGAGGGATCAAGGGCACATGAGTTCCTCGGCCCACCACCACCAACTGATCACGCACCAGCAGGATTCACTCAGCATGCTGCGCGATGGCACTGCCATCCTCCACACCAGGTCAGTGAAAACCCAACAGACCTAAAGACCAGGAGAATAACAGCTCCACCTCCCTACCCTGCCTCCTCAATCCACACGGATCTCTGACTCTTTTTGCAGCCATTTGGGTTCTTTTTTACCATTTCAGAAGCATTTTAAGGATTTTTTTAAAGAGTGCTTCCTACTTTTGTGTTCCTCCTGGTCATTTTTCAAATATTTAGCAGTTGGTTAACAAAACAAACTAGCACCACACTAAAAATGTTTAGTAGTTGGTGATAGTTTCATGTCACTGTAGGAAACTTTTTATTTTCTATTTCACCTGCCTTTGAACCCTTGCAAAATTTCACTCTATGTTGATGGAAAATCATGTATTTAATACTTGTTTCTTGCAAAAAACTCATTTGCTAAAGTATATACTTCTATATGATTTTGTGTTTCATGACCCAGCTATATTTTATTATTGGGTATCTTAAACAACAACAATAAAAAGTCCTTGACATTAATAGAATTCTGCCTGTGTCACTTCTTTGTTTTTGTTTTCAAAATGCCAACATCTTACTAAATAGAAATAAACTTGGTTTGGATTACCTAAGCTCTAACCGCATAAAAGATAGGCTGATACACAGACAGAAAGGAAAATAAGCATTTGTAATTATGGAGGCAGTATTGCAAAATGGTTACAAAAAGACTTAACTATTTGAGGGGCTGGTGCAAGAAAACAGATGGAAATTTCAGATCCCCGCCCCACCCCCCAACCCTACCCTTCCTCCCTTCTCAACCCGAGTTCTGTCCTGTAGGCCAGGAGACACATACAGTCATGTGGGCATCCCGATCCACATGGCCACACGCCATTCAGCAGTGCTCCCTGTTCCTCCTTCAGACCCAGGGAAACATGTACAAGATCTTCCCAAGAAGATGAACTCCAGGAAAGAGGTTGGTGCAACCCAAAAGATGCTCAGTCCAGTTTGGAAAGGAGCTTTGGGTGCCCCGGCACCTGGGGTGTGGTCTGGAATGGTGGTGAGTGCAGCTGAAGAGGGCGGAGCCCTGGGCAAGGGATAGTGCTCAGTATGAGCACAGGTGCAGAGCCAGGTGAGGGGTGGAAACCAGATCTGCCGCTTACCCCTTGGAAACCTAGAAATGATCACTTTATCCTCCAAGAAACTTAGTTACACATTTGCAAACTGGGGATAATATTATTGTAGTATAATAAGAAATCCATTTGCCCTTGCCTCTTGTTTCTGGCATGGAGCTCCTAAACCTCTTGGAATTTCTCAAGTGATGGGAGCATCTTTTCTTCTAAGAAGGCAACGGGTTGGGGAGTCCCCTGACAGCTTCAGGGTGGCAGCTGATTGCAAGGAAGAGCGAGTCTTGATTAGATGCTTAGAACTTTCAGCCCTACCTCGCAACCTCTCAGCAGAGAAGGGGGGCTAGAAATTGAGTTAATTAAGCCTGCCTATGTAACAAAACCTCCATAAAATACCCTGGCAGGGTTAGGACAGCTTCTGGGCTGGTGAGCATATTGGTATGAGGAGTTTGGTGCACCCCAATGCTAAAGAGACAGAGGCTCCCGTACTTGGGATCCTTCCAGACCTTGCCCTGTGCTCCTCTTCATCTGGCTGTTCATTCATATCCTTAACAATAAACTGAATCATAAGAGCATAGCGTTTTCCCGAGTTCTAGCAAGTTATTGAACCTAAAAGGGGGGGGGGGGGGGTTGTGGGAACCGCCAATGTTGTAGCCATGTCAGACAGGGTGTAGGGTAACCTGGGGACCCAATACTTGCAACTGGCATCTGAAGTGAGGGCAGAGTTGGGGAACTCAGCCCTTAAAGCTGTGGAATTTGACACAAACTTCAGATTGTCAGTGTCAGGACTAAACTGAACTGTTGGACACGCAGTTGGTATCAGTGTTGAAGGATTGGTTGGTACTGGCAAAGGCACCACGTATTTGGTGCTGGGAGCAAAAATAGAAAATTTTTAAAGACCTCCAGATGATGTTCAGCAATTCACAAAGGGGTCCGTGCAAGAATTGGCTTGTATCTATTCTAACTGGTCAGTATGCAAGTTGAACCATTGCTTGATCATCTCTGTCTACACCAACAGGCTTTTGTGAGGATTAAATTGAATTATGCCTAAGAAAGAAGCCTCTCTCAATGCTAGACACATAATCAACACTAAACAAGTGGTAATCATTATTACTAAGAAAGCAAAAATATTTCAAATGGATGATTTCAATTCTGTATAAAATGTTGCAACTTTTTTTTTTTTTTTTGAGAGGGAGTCTCGCTCTGTCACCCAGGCTGGGTGACAGAGATTGAGACAGAAATTGCAGTGGTGCAATCTCGGCTCACTGCAACCTCCACCTCCAGGGTTTTGGCAATTCTCCTACCTCAGCCTCCTGAGTGTCTGGGATTACGGGCATATACCACCATGCCTGGCTAATTAAAATGTTGCAACTTTTTAAGAAAAATAATTCTCAATAAATAAATTGGTGACTCTCATAAGAGCCCTTTGTCAACTGACTAAAAACATCCTTAATTTAGAAATTTAATTTTTAGTTTTAAGCTAACTAGTCATGAAGTGAAAATATTTTAGACAAAATGGCTCTAAGTAATTTAGGATTCATAGAAATGAAGCTATTCCCTGAATGCATTGGTTGCTGGGTGCACTTGTCCTGGATGAGTAGGTATTAGGCAAATCAGTCTTTTACCAGCAAATCCTACCATAGGAACTGCACAGGCCTGATTCCTGCCAAGCATGCCAGGCCCCTGACTAGTGCAGAGGCCTCCCTTATGGAGAAGGAAGGAGGAGGCAGGGAGGAACGTAGGGCCCATGATTTAAGGAGGCTCTCCCTCTCAGGCTCATGCAGCACCTGAAGGGGGCACCGCCCAAAGTCCTGTGCCCCACTTGCCTTAACCCAGTCCAGCCCTGGCTCCGGCACTCCAAAGCTAAGCAGGGAGTGCCAACAGGAGATGGAAGACAGCATGAGAAACTGAATGGACTTCTACATTTATCTAAAAATAAGAAACTGGACTTCTTCCGTAGGAAATGGCTCATCTTTCCAAATAAATAAAACACTTATAGCTATGGATTGAATTGTATCAATTCTCTCCCCCAATTCATGTGTTGGAATACTAAACCCCAGTCCCTCTGGATGTGACTATAGAAAGGTAGGGTCTTTACAGGGACAATCAAATTAAAGTGAGGTCATTAGTGACCTAATCCAACATGGCTGATGCACTTACAAAAATGATTTAAAGACAGACCTGAATAGAAGGACGATGGAGTGAAGACACAGGGAAAAGACAAAAGCAGCCTGGAACGGATTTTCCCCAAAGCCCGCAGAGGGAACCACCTGGGCTGACACCTTGATCTTGGACCTCCAGCCTCCTGAAGGTGAGACGATTCATTTCTGTTGTTTGAAGCTACCCAGTTCACGGCACTTTGTTATAACAGGGAGGGGAAGTCACCTCTACTGAGGGACTTACTAAAATCACTTAACTGTTGCAGATTACAGGCCTCACGGTGGGGTCATGGCCTCGGGAGCCATATCCATTTTAACTGCATCATCTCTCACTGGACCCTGACGCTGGTCAAGGCACATCTCAGTCTCCATGGACTGTTATTTCTTCTACGAATCGATCCTGGCTTCATTCTGGCAGGGGAGGGGCTCTTACATTCTGTGGCCGATATGAGTGTCATGTGAGCACCCCCATAACCTTGTTCCCTCAGTGCTCCTCCTCCAAGGGAGTCCTAACAGCCTGGCCGGCCTCGGGGGCGTGCCTTACAGAAAGGATGCTGACCTTCTCCTTCTCCAGTGGGATTTTATTTTTATTTTTTGGCATGTTTTGTGACTACAAAGACTCACTGCCTCGGTGTGCCCCTTAAAATGAGGTTTCAATTGCATGCAGGTGAAATAACCATAAGATGACTATAAACCAAATGTAGTAGTAATGGTTTTTTTTAAAATTGGAAATATCATAAAAGCACCAGTCTTTGGACACCGAGCCTCTGGTTCCTCTGGAAAAGGGAGAAGAGAGTAGATGGTGATAGAGAAAAAAGGGGCTGGGAAGGCCACAGCAGTGAGAAGGCAGCAATTCTAGAATCCCCACACTGCAGGGGCAGGAACAGGCAGTGCTGGGTAATAGGACATCTCCTCTGGGGGGAAGTCAAGGGTGCCACGTAGAACCAACATAAGTCATAAGTCATCCAAGTACAGCAAAGGATCCAGATATGGTCTGTGGAGGTTTGGAACCACAAACATCAAATAGTAAAGACACAAAATATTTACATATTCACATTTTTAAAAAGAGTCTTGATTAGCCAGGGTAGGATTATTTGGGTTCTGTTCGTTTTACCTTTAATTGCCCTTGGTTCCGCCATCTTTTTTCTCTGTGAGTCATTGGTCTTGCTTTTGGTTAACACGGCTTTTCTCGGGTCTCCAGAGATCCTGGAATAACCTGAATATAAGTTTAAGAATATTAAATCTTATTTTGTTTTCAAATATTAATACCAAGGATCAACTGTACATGTAGGGACAAAACCTATTTCTTAAACATTATTTTAAAATATCCTAAAAGGGGAAAGAACTTAAATCCTTCTCTTTAAAAAAAGAGGGGGCAACATTCCTCTCTTCTGAGGGAAGCACAGCATTATGAAGCAAAAATTGAGAGTGAAATCAAGGCCAAGCCTAACTGGCATGCTGAAGCACACACACGCTTTTGCACAGAAAATATTTTGAAAATGTTTTCTTTTCCTTACAGCCCCCAGCTTTGGTAATAATGGCTTCCCCAGATCATTCTGTTAGCACTTTTTGCTGCTTAAAACAGGGTAGAGGGATTTAGAATTTAGAAAACATCCTGAGAACTATAATTAGTCCCAGAAAAGAAACAACCCTTTTAATTTGTAAATGCTAGGGGGATCCGTATTTTTTAAAATCTTAGAACACTAACAAGCTAAAAAGATAGAAAGAAAAAAAATCTTTTTTAAAGTATGCCTGTTAGCACAGCTCCAAAATCCAGTCTCCTTTTCTTTTTTTTTCTTTTTTTTTTTTTAGATATGGGAATTTCTTAAACAAGTTTCCAAGTAAAATATTCAATCCCAAAATATATTTAGTAGAACCTTTATAACATGACAAATTGTAAATGGCCTCTGTTTCCATTGAAAATATTTTTAAATTAGAAAATGTCTTAAATACTACATCAAAATCAATATTTGTAATGGGAAGATTTATTTCTAAACGGTTCCACAGGCCAGCTGACACTCCACTCTACTTAGGAAGCCCACAGCCAACTTCTCCTGAAGCCTTCCAAACCTATACACAGAGACATTTAATCCAAATTGCCCAGATCTCACAGAAAAGCATTTGTTGGGATACAGAAAATACAACATAACATTCTTGGGAAAAAAAAATCAGGGTAAAAAACCACATACATAATATCATCCCAATACTGCACAAAGAAAAAAAAATAATAAATGGATGAAAGAAATGAGGGAAGGCAGGAATGGAAAGAGGAAGACCTGAGAGAGGTTATCACGACGGTAACAGTCATGGTCTTTGGGTCTGGTTTCCAGTGTGAAATAGGATTTCTTATTTGTTTCTTTTTAAATCCTCTTAAAGTTATTTATTTTTTAAACCAACAAATAAAAGTTATATATATTTACTGTGTACAATATTATGTTTTGAAATATATATACATTTTGGAATGGCTAAAGTAAGCTAATTACCATCTGCATTACCTCACACTTATTTTCTTTCGGCAAGAATGCTTGAAATCTACTCTAAATGATTTTCAAGAATATAATGCACTGTATTAACTACGGTCAATAGATCACGGGTCTATTCAAGTTCAAGGCATAGATCTCTTGAAATTACTCCTGTCTAACTGAAATTTTATGTCCTTTCACCAACAACATCTCCCCAGTTCCCCTACGCGCGACATCACTAATCATCAAGGAAATGCAAATAGGAATCGTGATGTCATCTCACACCTGTTAAAATCGCCATTATCAAAAAGATCACAAGTGTTGGTGGGGGTGTGGAAAGAGGGAGCTCTTGCCCTCTGTGAGGGAATGTAGATCAGCACAGCCGTTATGGAAAACAGTATGAAGGGTCCTCAAGAACACAAAGATCACTTACAAATCAAAATACTATATGTTTTACAAATCAATTTTGTATGTATTACAAATCAAAATAGTATATGATTGCTGGCAATCCCACTCTGGGTATAGATCCACAGGAAATGAAATCAGTATGTCAAAGAGGTACTTCCACGTTCACTGCAGCACAATTCAGAACAGCCAAGGCATGGCATCAACCTAAGTGTCCATCAGCATAAATGTCCATAGAGAAAAGTGGTGCGCATGCACAATGGAATGCTATTCAGTGTTTAGAGGAGAAATCCTGTCATTTATGACAATATGAATGAACCTGGAAAACCTTATGCTAAGCGAAATAAGACAGGCACAGAGAGACACATACTGCATCCTCTCACTTACAGATGCATCTGAAATGTTGAACTATTTCCTTCATTAGAGTTTTGTATATTTTCTAAATTTTCTAAACCAAGAACATTCATCTTTATAATCAGGAAAGAAAACTAAGGAATAATCATTTTATAATCCTAAACATGCTTTTAAAGCATTTATTTCACTGTAATGTATTCTTTTTCCATCCAGCCATCCATGGGCCCAAGGAGCTGGCCTTGCCCACTGAGTGGCCTGATGTTCAGGGGACGGGGTGGGGGGTGACGGTGAAGTAGATCATGCTTTGCAAAGCTGCACAAATCCTGAGTTTAAAAAGTGTTCCCAAAAATCCAAAAGCCAATACTGACTATTGCTTGGTTAACTGTTTTGCATGGATAAGTGGTTAAAGGAGCATTTGGTTTTCAACTTCTGCAAAGGGAATAAGAGTTTTAAAAGTGTGAATTAAGATTTCCTATACTATGCTATTCTATAGTAGATTTTTGTGCCAAAACCTCTACTAGGCTGAAAGGATAATTTGACTTATGGTTGAGACATTGTTGGGCCTGATTTAAAGCCCAGAGAGGATTCTCTTAAATATGTGCGATGGGTATTTTTTAATCAGTGTTATGGCGTTACTAATATTTCATTTATCCTGAGGGCATTTACCTGACAACCTAAATTATCCATAACACAGCTGAGAAGCCACAAAGGATCCAAAAAGATGTCACAAAGTCCAGGAAGGGAAGCTTTGCCAAAGAAAGGCACACTACCAGCCGCGTGAGGTAACAGCTGGCCTCATCAAAGCAAAGAGGTCAGAAAATTATGCAAACCAGACTCAAGAACTCAAAAAATACAGCCGTTTGAGAACTTTGGTAAGAGCGCAAGCTGCTCAGCCCAGCTCAATCGCCCCTGCCCCAGCAATGGCAGAAAGTCAAGGTCAAGGAGTCATATGACCTGCAGAGAGACTCCCAGCCCTGCCCCTGGCCAGGGGGACAAACCACACCATCCCTGGGACTCAGGCAGGCTCGTGTTCTGTGTGGGGAGGCAGAAGAAGGCACCGGATCATCAGGAAATCTGGACTGGAAATGGCCAAAGCTAAACACGTCTGGGTACCTGAAGGGTAAGCACAATGTTCAAAGCAGCCGTGGTGAGGCAGAAAGAACCTTGAGCTTGGAGACCCATGTTTGTGCTGACCCACTAGCAGCCAACAAAACCTCTCTCAGCTTCAGTTTGCTCATCTGAAAACTATGGGTAAGAGGCCTGACTCCAGAGAGGTGGTGCAAGTCCAGTGAGATGGGGTTGCTGATGGTCCAGGTGTAGATGCAAAGCATTGTTGTTTTTTTCTTTATTCTTTTCTTTACTTTTCTTTCCTTCCTTCCTTTCATTCTTTCCTTCCTTTTTCTTTCTTTTCTTTCTCTCTTTCTCTTTTTCTTTCTTTCCTTTTCCTTCCTTTTCTTTCTCTCTTTCTTTCCTTTCTTTTTTTCTTTTTCTCTTTCATTTCTTTTTCTTTCCTTTTCCTTTCTCTTTCTTTTCTTTCTCTCTCTCTCTCTTTTACTTTCTTTTTTCTTTGATACAAGGTCCTCTCTGTCATCCAGGCTGATGTGTAATGTTGCCGGTACAGCTCACTGCGGCCTGGACCTCCTTGGCTCAAGTGATCCTCCCGCCTAAGCCACCGGAGTAGCTCAGACTATGGGAATAAGAGCTATGCATCACTAAGCCTGGCTAACATTTGGGGGGAGATATGAGCTCTCACTGTGTTGTCCAGGCTGATCTCAAACTCCTGGCTTCTAGGAATCCTCCTCCCTCGGCCTCCCCAAGTGCTTGGATTAGAGAGGTGAGCCACCATGCCCAGCAAAGGCATTCTTAAATTCAGGAACAAATGCCCTCCTCATTCCCCAAAACACTAGACAAGAGAGCCACTCTCTATGCACAGATCTCCCTGGCCACCACATGTAAGCAGCAGTAAATATTCCATAGGTAGAATTGGCTACTGTGAAGAAAGAAAAGTAGGTCCGGAAAAGCTGCCCTCAGTCCAGGAAGTACCCTGCACCTCAGGTGAGTAACAGCAGCCTGGGGAGACGGTTCCACTCCCACCAGCAATGCCAGGGACAGAGCAGTGGCAACCATCCATCCCCACAGTCATGGTTAACATAGCCACAGAGAGCCTGCCTTTTCTATTTATAGCCACACAGGTGGCAACGGCAGCAGACACACTGGCTGCCCTTCTTCCCTTATAGAAGGAAACGTAATTTTACTTGGGCATTCTGCCTGCCCCCGCATGACCCACAGAGGATGACCAGCCCCAACACCAGTATAAATCCTATCACTGGGCACCATTTCTTCTCACCACTGATTGGTTTAGGGAAGGGCACATAATATGATTCTGGCCAATCCAACACTGAGGGAGTGAGCTAGAGTACTTCCAGGAACAGTGCTGGCTGATGAAGAAAGGCCACAGAAAAGCAGTCATGTCTGTGTGGCACTTGGAACTAGGAGAGCCATCCCAGGACCATGAGAAGAGGTCACCTGAGGGTAAAACCGACATGCTTTGGATATCTGGAGGAAAGGAGGGAAGTCTCTGTGTGTCTACTTATGGTAGGGAAGAGTACTGACCAGCTCTGACAGCATCTCATAACAGGGCATCTAGGCACATCAAATGCATTTTCCCCGTTAACTAAACCATTTTGAATTGGGGCCATTTTTGTTGTTATTGTTATTTTCGGCAGCAAAAGTATCCCATACACTCTAGTCTCCATGTTCAAAAAAGCCCGTTTCAGCTCTTTTACCGTCTGTATCCATAACCACGCAGACGTGCGGAATATGCTCTTCAGTTCTAATTTTAAAATAAAACGATCTGCTGGAAATTAGCTCAGCTCATAGATCTCCCTACTTATAACACTACACCTAAGAATTAGGAACTAAATAACTATTGCCATGATAAGCAGCCTGTCTCAGTCTATCCACATGCTGACTGTCCAGATACTGGAGATGACAT